GAGGCATCGAATAGGAAGTACAACCTCGTTAACAAACAGCGGCTCAACAAACAGCTTTATCAAGTCCATCAGCGTCATCTACAAACTAAACACAAAGCAAGTCCCAAGAGCTTCTGGAATCAACGGAAGGCATCGGGTTTACCTTCTACCATGTACAATACGGATCGAAAAGAATCTGATACGGAGGGAATCGCTCCTGTTCATGCCACAATTCAGCAATTCGTCAAAGAAAATTTACCTAACGAGCACATCGTAGCCGCCGTAAGCGAGGTTCCCGTACTTTCTGCTGTTGGACCGCATCCACCTATTTCGACTAATGATGTTCGTAGAGCAAACCTTCGTTTGAAAAATTCTTTCAGCACTGGTCCTGACGGAATCCCCTCCGCGGTTATTAAGAACTGTATTGGAGTGATGGCCGCACCTTCTAGCATCCATCTTCAACCTCTGATGGGATCTTTCCCGACGGCCTGAAGGATTCTTTTGTTTTCACTGTCAGATTTATACCGAAAAGGTTGACCGCTACAAATCTTGTTCAATACACATAATCAATCATTCGCGAGAAGGAAAAAGGTCATCAAGTGCATGATATCTACACCGATCTTTCCGCTGCTCAATCACGAGATTGTAGTGGCCAAACAAGAGCGTCTTGGCTTTCACGGTTCCCTTCTGGCTTCACTCATACCTCACCGGTCGGCATGTGTCAGTAAAGAAAGAAGATCATATTTCTCAACCGTTCGCTGTTTCTTCTGGTGTACCTCAAGACAGTCATCTGAGGCCGTTCATATTTTTATTGTATCTGAATGACGTTCACTTTTCTATCCATTGCCTGAAGCTGTCTTATGCTGATGATTTCAAACTATACTTTGTCATCAAAGATCGAAGTGATGCATTGTTTCTTCAGCTGGACGTTTTTGCTGTTTGGTGTGACAAGAGCCGGATGGTATTAATACCATTACCTTACAGCGTGCAGGAGCAAATATTAAGCCGTGAGTCTACCATAAAAGACTTAGGCGTCATACTTGATTCACAACTTACCTTCAAGGACCATGTGGCTTATGTTTCCGCTACAGCCTCTTCTATCCTTGGTTTCATTTTTCACCAAAGACTTTTGGGACATTTTCTATTTAAAAACACTCTATTGTTCGCTAGTCGGCTCCACATTAGAGTATTGTTCCGTAGTATGAACTCCTTTTTACAGCAACGGGGTAAATTGTATTGAGGCCATTCAGCGAAGATTTGTACCTTCGCTCTTCGTTGGCTACCCTGGAGTGATCCTTTCAACCTCATTAGTTATGAAAGTCGCTGTAATTTGATGTCCTTACAATTACTTAGTGTTCGCCATGGCGTCTCCAAGGCTACCTTCATTGCTGATCTCCTACGATCGGACATTAATTGCGGCTCACATCTGGAGCAGTTGGATGTCAATATCAGACGAGTAAATTTACGTTTCAACGGGAAGCCGGTACTCTCGCACAAACTACGGCGCTAATGAACCGTACATTAGCATGTGCAAGATTTCAAACATTTTTTTTTCTTTTTTATCGTGATTTTTAGCCATAGGCTAGTTCATGACGTAGATTTTCAACTAATTTTATAACTGCTTTGATTTTAAAATCTCCCATGTTAGGTTTAAGAATCTGTTTTATAATGCACTTCTAACTTCCTGATGGTTTCTGTTTTCTTTATTTAAATTAAGTTAATTACTTTATCATTAATATCGTCTTATATGTTGAGGGCTTAGTTCAAGCAAATGTATCTGTACGATTCCATGTTATCTGTTGGTACTGAAATGTTGAGCTTTTGCGCCCACTTGTGTAAATAGGCAATACCAGCACCGGTTGCTTCCAAATGTAGGTCAATTAGGGAATGGGTAGTATTTACGTGATATTCGTTTTTATAATAGCCGAAAAGTCCTCTGTACTTCCACGAAACATCACTGGGATGTTGGATTAAAGGGTTGGGTTTGCAGCAGGGTTCGTTTTGGTAAACGACTCGCTGACAGTAACGTCCCTAACATGTGAGGAGCCTAGGATCAAACATACGATCTTCTGCTCTACAAGTAAAAACGGTTGCCATTAGGACACCAAGACCCTCATATCACAATAAACAATTATGATCAAGTTTTTGATTTTATCATTTAAACCTGGCGATGGCAATTGTCGCGCAAAACGAAGCATCAAACAAAGCAGCCATTCGAATGGTACACTCTGATCAGAAGAATTCAATCAGGATTTATAATTGAGATTGAGTACACGTCTATTTTACAACCAATTTCGATTTGTGCATATTTTTTTTTCGACCAGAAGTCAGTAATTGACATTTTTTCCTTCTTGACCCTTTTTTTTAGGCATTGTGAAAGTTTCTAAAAATTAAATCTCACCAATGCCCAAGATCACGCTTGATGTTCGTAGACAAAAATCAACAAGCAAACAACTGTGGTTGATTTTGTAAGCTATGATATCGCAGCTCGGAATATCAAGCTAACAAAACTCACCAGCTGCAAATCTCACCAAACTGTGGTGAGATTGAGTTTATTGAGTTTTTGCTTTACACCCGAACGCAATCGAAACTTCTATAACGGCTGGCAGCAGTCCCTTCGAGTCTGCCATCTGCCAAACTATACTTTTCTCTTTCTAAGAAAACGATGTGCAACGGAATCATTTTTGTGTCGAGTCAACTCTCAGCTTTATTTTTGCACGTTGTGAATAGTCTCGCAATATCGAAGGAGCTTGTAAAATCGATATCAAGTATGCTATTCTATCGCGCGTGCTAGCTAGCGGAAAAAATATATCATTTGACTCATGATTTTGCCAACACTGGTGCTAAATTTGAACTAATTTGGAAACGATCTGAAACTGCGGGTGAACTTTAAAATTTGAATGGGAAATGGAACAAAACTATTCACTACTATTTCCAGTTTCCATTTGAATATCACGGTGTAGAAAAAAGCAAAGAATTCCTCACGTGTATAAGAATTAGTGTGTGGCATGATGAGTATCGGCATATACCAGTTGTATCTCCCTTACCCCGGGGTACCCAGGACATATCCGGACGTTACCATGCCGGCCTTGAGTCCTCATAGTGAACTACGATAATCTTACAATTTAAGATTGTTTTTATAATGTACCCAACAAACAATTTTAGCTGCAGACTAGCTTATACAGGCAAAAATTAGCTATATAAGCCAATTTTTGGCTGTATAAGCTAATCTGCAGCTAAAATTGTTAGTTGGGTAGTTAAGTCAACTTCTCGAATATGATGAAACTTGATAGAGGTTTCACACAGTCTAATGGCATTCTCCTAGACTGAGTAAAATTGTCATGGAATTTCCTCATAAAGTCTGGTCCACTTAGAATCCGGACACTTTATTTATTCTATAGCAGCGCCTCTATTGGTCAGATTTGGAATGTTTTGACAGCGATTTGTTTTGAAAGAACACGTGATTTAGTGGAAAAAGCTTCCCAAACCCGGGTCGATTCGAAATATTGTGAAAAAGTTGAAAATGATCGATGTCAGGCAGATTCCCGGACAAAAGTTTTATCTGGTCACAGCACGGGGTGATGACACCAGCAATTTCAAGTTTGTTTTTGCCGATAAATTCGCCTGGAAATTGATAATCTGGCAAGGAATTTGCAGCTGCGGACTCAAAACTAAGCATTTTATCACCAGAAAAACGATGGACTCGGAGCTGTATAAGCAAGAATGCCTGGAGAAATGTATACTACCTTTCATGAAGGCTCACAAAGGTCCAGTGAAGTTCTGGCCAGATTTGGCAAGCTGCCACTACAGCCGGGAGGTGCTACAGTGATGTCGCAACAATAAGGTGAATTTCGTCGACAAGGATATCAATCCACCAAACTGCCCGCAATTCCGTCCAATCGAAAAGTACGGGGCAATTACCAAGAAAACTGGAAATACGATTCAGGCCGCTGCACAGATGATGGCGGGAATTCCAAAGAAAGTCAATAAAATACCTTCATTTTAACTAAATTACATTTTTATTACGTCAAATAAATCCCGAGTGTCCGGATTCTAAGTGGACCAGACTTTGCGCAAGAAGTTTTTCCTGGTTTTCTACGACTACTCAACTCACTTTTGAGTAAATCCACTTTTGACGAAATTGAGGCGATCTGATCGACCGTGTGGCATAACGTCAGCATTATCAAAAGTTCTTCAATTAACGGTCGAAACATAAGCATTTTACTGACCGATTATTTAATTTAATTGCAAAGCGGTCTTCAGCAAATATGTTGCTGAAATAACCTCAAATAGCATAAATAGTGACTGCTGTGTAAAACAATACGATACACCCAACCGGGAAATGTAAGATTCTATTACAGATTTGCATTGAAAGTATGCAGAATTTGCAATTGAATTCTGTAACGTGGTTGCTGGAAGGTTTTCAAAATAATTTTGTAAGTTTTATGTTGGCTTATTTTTTTTGAACAACGTTGTGTTTAAAAGATCATCTCGTGAAGGTCTTATACAAAACTATGCAAAAACATGCTTGTATGAAACATATGCAGAGGATGTAATAAATCCAACTTTAAATTGGATCTAAGTGAAATGTGTTTGGGCGTGTACTAATACTAATGTTGAAGCATTCATAATTCTACCAACCGGTTTCAAATTTGCCAATTCGATCTTGACTTAACGTTTATCTGGTCAGTGTTATATAAAATTTCAAAGCTCGTATGTGGCATCTTTTTCTTGGATCCTTATGTTTGTTCAACTCGTGACCCTCAAGTTGGACGGCCAACCGTTCATTGACAAATCCACACCGTTCAGCATTCCTCAATCGGTGGACGAAAAAGTTATCAATGAAAAATCAGAAAATCGCACAGCCAATCCCACGTCGCCTTCCATAGGTACGGTGGATTCTGCGACATGTCGACGACGTCGTCGTCGCCTTCATCTTTTATTTATTTTTTCGCGAACCGATTAGCAACTCTTGAAACTACGACTGGTCACTAAACATCGGGTCTATGTTTCTTTTACAGGCAACCATCGAAGCATCTAAGCAGAAGCAGCAGCAGTTTCTCCTGCAGGGACACCACGAACAGCGCGACCACCGCCCGTCTTCTCTGCCACAAGTAGGTGCGGTCTGGAGGTGCGGCGGCGGTACCATATACCATACCATACCATACCATACCATCCATACCGATTCGCGAGCCCGACTGCACGCGCGCTGTGGCGTCTTCTTCTTCAGTATCACTTGAGCAGTGCTGCAGTGAAGAAGTGCTACTCGGTGTTGCTTGAGAGCACGCGTGTGTATAGTGTAGTGTCCCTCCATCATCCCACTATCAAGTGGTTCCCGTAGTGATAGCACAGAATTAAAAAGTGGTGCGTTCCGAATTGTCCTCGACGCATAGAAGATCCAACAGCGTAGTGCTTCGAGCTGAAGAAACATGAGGGTCGGTCGGTTATTTCGAGCGCACGGTGAATTTTGTGCATCGCACCCATGGGAAGTGATAGTGGCCCTGGTGACTCTAACGGCATGCATTATAACTTTCGACAAAGGCAGCGTGGATCCGTTCCAGCAGAGCTCGCGGTCAGGTTCCGGGAGACCTTGTCCAAGCTGGCGGTTCAGCTCGGTCAGTGCCGATGATGCTTTCCGGTGTGAAGATGTGGAGCAGAATGGCATCGATGTGATACTGATGACTATCGTACGATGTTCGGCAATTCTCTATTGCTATTACCATTTCTGTAATCTACAGAAGCTTGGTTCCAAGTACATTTTGGGTGAGTAGTAGTTTTTTTTTTTAGAAATCGATATATTCATTCATAATCACCATTGGACTACCGAGTGGTCGACCTCCGGTTCGGTCAGAAATCCTCTGTCAAGGCGCTTTAGGACCAAAGATACCAGACCGAATTAGCATAGAGCGCATTTTGTGAAAGTTTTATTTTATGAATGATTGACCTACAGATCTTGTTCGGTTACGATGTCGTACGCGCGTCACTTTGTCTAGAGGGGAAGGCCTTGAACCGGCCCGTCGTCGGGAGGAGAGAAAAAGAGAAGGGAACCGCCGCCATACGATCGAAAGGGTAGCTGAATTTTCCCATTCCTCAATAGGGTGAAGAACGGCTTCAGCCTCCCTGAAGCAGGGGGTTTTTCTAAAGAAAATTATTCGGAAATCCATCAAAAAAATGCTCTACGATGGGAAGTATCATACAGCAGAAAATAAGCGTTGGAAGTTTTTGCTTGGAATAGGGTCTCGGGGGGCTGAAGCCGTTCTCCACCCTACTTCAGCTCTTTAAATTGATTTCGCCGTTTTTTCACGCTCTCTGCTGTGCACACAGACGGTAAATTGACCGAAATTTTCGGTTGGTAAAATACCGCCTTCTGATTGCCTGGGATAGAAGGAGAGAAGCGTGCTGCTGCTGGAGGCATGAGCGTGTGCAGACTTTTAGATACTCGTGGAAACAGGCAGAAAGTTTTTCTGAAATTCAGTTTGATTGCTTCTAATATATTTGAAAATTGTAGAGCAGCGATACGGCATTTTCATAGCATCCAAACCTATCACGTCAAAATCACGAGTTCAAATCTCTCACGGAAAAGTCAGGAATGACCCAACAGCGTTAAAGTGACTATAATAAAAAAAAAAAACATACATACATGATAGCCAAATAATAATGGACGACAAGCAACAAAGATAAAATTATTTGAAAATGAAAAAAAAAATGACATGGAATAACGCAAATTTCTCCCATTGATTTACATGCATCATGTGTTGCAAAGAAACTTATAAACAATTTTATCTTTTCCTTCCACCGTTCCGATCAGAGAGAGTTTATCATGACAATCATCGCAAACGTCGCAGGCTGACCCCAGTAAACGTTTGAGCTGGACGATTTATTTTTAAGATAATTAAGTATGACATCTTAACCAGATTAGCAAACAAAACGAACTGGTTAAGTTGCTTAGCTTAGCTTAGCTTAGTCTGACTGCACGTATCGATAGTTGCACTCCGTGATTGATCTGAACCAGTGAAATTGTACAAAGAATCAACTGAATGGGGCTTGGGAGTAACCTGCCATTCTCAGTGTACATGTTCCAGTGACTCCTACCTTTAAAGATCAATAACGTCACCGGCCACGTCCTTGCAATCAGGTGGGAGAGGGAAGGAATGTTAGTGTGTGACTTTTGTTGTTTTGGGACCGTGTTTACCTCTGCATCCCACAAAAGTCACAGGAAGGAGGTTTTGTTAGTGGGTTAGGTTCGTTGGATCAGGATTCACCTTGATAAGTGATGCGATCTTTTGTTTTGTGTAGTTATTTATAAGTGTTTTCGATTTATGCTCTAAACAGCCGGCTGTCTAGAGATGTAGATCATTATTAGATGTGTGTATACCGATTTAAACCAACAATAAGGATACTGTTGGGGCCACTCACAAAGTGTGATGATGGTTTATTTTATTTTATCAATGACCAAAATAATTAATTATAAGCGGTTTGAACCGATTTAAACCAACAGCAAGGATGCTGTTGGGGCCACTCACAAAGTGTGATGGTGGTTTACTTGATTGAATATAAAATAATTATTAGAACCGATTTGACCCGATTTAGACCAACAGCAAGGATACTGTTGGGGCCACTCACAAAGTGTGATGGTGGTTTATTTAGTTCGGAAGAAAATGAATATGTATACTTCTTTTTTTTTATATATAATAGAACGAATTTGTACTGATTCAAACCAAAAGCAAGGGTTCTATTGGGGCAACTCACGAAGTGCGATGGTGGTTTATACTATAAGGGCATAAAACAAAATCAAGAGCCATTTCGGTTTCCATAGCTTCCTAGACACTCGGCCGCAAAATAATCTTATCCGACGGAAACGTCTCGATCATCGCGCGATTTACCGTATTGATTCAAATTCCGAACAGTGCGTTAAAATCATCCTTTGAAAAACACCTTTTTTACCTAAAATATTGCTGATCCGCTCAGAATGTATTTAAACTCACGACTTATCGTAATATGGACATCCTAAAAGAAAATTTTTCAAAATCCGTCCCATACAAAAACACAAGTGCTCAGAATTTGAGCGTGTTCGTAATATGAATCAGAACAAGTTAAATCACGTTCCCGAAAGCAAACTGGATCAAGCGTGCGCCCTCCCTTCTAAACATTCCGACGCGTTCCGCCCAACATCTATCAATTACGATTTTCTGCAATAGTAGCCTGGGATAAATCCTAACGTCTTCCCTCCCACAAGACTCAACTATGTTCTTGCACTCGCAAAATAGATTACGCGCGATTAAGGTTATCCCGGCAGGAAACAAACGGGTTGTTTTTAACTGGAACAAGCTCACCAAATACAATCACCATGGTAGCACCAACAACTACATACTCGAGTCTTGTCACTATTAGCAAGACATTAAAAATAACAAGGTCCAAAGTGTGTTCCCCTGCTCACTGAAAACTCGGGGCTTATTACGGATGTCACTTCACGGTGAAAACTTGACACTGGTAGTCACGGAGAAGTGATTCCCATTTCATTCACGGCTCTTATTCTGAGTATTACTTCCTTATCACCGTGTAGTGACACCCGTAATAAGGCCCCTCCTGTTCAGGACTAGAGTTCGGTGAAAATCTTGTTCCAGTAACACAACACGAAAAGGTGATCTACCAGCGTTACTGGATTGAAAAGATAAAATGAACAAAAAGGAACGAACTCACCAAGTTTAGCCAATTGAACCTAAAGGCAGTTTGAGATGTGTTGATGGTGTTCACATTGCACACAGATACATCAACACACTATTGGCCGTGGGTAAAAGACTTCTCTTCTTCCTGCTTGATCCAGGGAGCTCCACTGCGCCGACGGGAAGCTGGAAATATCCTCGTGCTCCTCCAGCGTTAGTCCTCTGATTCCGGCTGCAGTTTTTCACCCGGTGGTGCTACTGCTGCGAGTGCTTCTTTCTTGCTGCCGGCTGACCAGCGGAACGCGTTTTGCACCCTTCGCTCGCGTTCGGCCCAAATTCGGAATTTAATTATTTCAACACTTGATAAACCGCGCATCCGACCCGCGCATCCGCCACTGCAAGTTCGTAGTTGAAAATCACTCGAGTCAAAATGTAGAATCATTTCACATTGAACAAAATTGAAAAAAATGACGGGAGGAACTCAAAAATCGCGTCCGTTCACGAGCACAGCACACTTCGATCTCAAAACGAACTGGTTAAGTTGCAGGTAAAAATTCCATCAACAATTTTCAGTTGCTTCACAGAGATATAAATGTGAAAAGCTTAGGCGTTCACCCCTTTGTCCACCACACAAGCATTCCCAGCGATCAAGAGTTCATGAATAATCTACAAAGCATTCTATTACACTAGCAACCCCGCAATCTGATGCTATTATAATTGTGGATGCTAATTGGAATACTCACGAGCCCCCGATATTCAGCCAGAAAACTTAGTATTAATTCAAATCATCTTCCAAATAAGCTTCAAAGTTCAATATTTTGTATCAAATGTTAAATTTAGTAAAATATTGTTGCTTGCTCTTAGTGTTTTAATACCCATGAGTTCTCTTGGGAAGACATTCATTGTTCGAAAAGTGCGATTACTCAGAACTTAGTTTAAATATTAGTCAGTTTTAAGTAACGCTAACTCAATGTTCAGCCTTTTCAAGTTACATTTACTCAATTATCAGTACCGTAAAACGGGGTATCTTTGATAATGCGGGTAACTTTAATAGTAGAATAAAATGATTTAATTTACTATCGGCCCTTTTTCCGAATTGGAAACATTGGGTCCTTATTGTAGCTTAGGGTATTTCCCATGATATTGTATATAGTTTGTATATAGTATGTGTTACATGTTTTCCAAACATATTCAAAATTAATTTTATTTTATTTTTGCCGGTTTGAAAAAGCACTCAAACCATCACTTATGAAATGTATTTCTTATACAGCCATGACAAGTTGTCTTCCTATTGCTTATGATGTTTTCAGGTTATGTACTCATTCACATTTTCATATTTTTTGAACTAAATTTTTGGAGTTGCACACATGTTTTTCTATATTCATCGAGAATTATCAATGTGACCCCAAATCAAAATACTGTTGTCCGGTGACAAGACTTAAAAAATAGTACAAATGCAATAATGTCCGTTAAACATATTACTTACGAATTTACTCTAGGATCCTCAGTACTTGTTTAAAAAAATCAAAATAATCAATGTCACCCCGTTTTACGGTACTAAAAAGCATCCCAACGATGAAACCTTCCACGAGTGAATAACAGCTATACACTAACAGTCATCTTCATTAGAATCAAATTTACACACCACTGTTAGCTTCTCAATTAACCACGAGAGGTATATCGGCTACTGAAGATAATTAATGCTAATGATTCCAGAACTTTCCAACGTCTGCGTTCTTTTTTTTTCCATTGGATGAAGACCATCTGTCAGGTTTTTAACTTACATTCGACGTCCGGTTACTGCAAAATATGTATATTTTTTTTACCGAAGGACAGTCGGTAACTGAAATTTATCAAACCAGTTGCGAAGAGGCTTTTAAGGTTCTCAAATTTATTTGACTGACGCTTCCTGACAATGCGATGTTGTAGGATTTTGAAAGATGAGTGTTTTTAACTGAACAATTGTTGGAGGGCTTTCATTTGCAACATTTTGCATTCTGCAAATAAATATGGAACGCGATGCGAGTAGATGGATTGAGGTACAAGAAATTAAAGAAGATTGTTAGCTATTATAACATATTTCGAGCACTTTAGGATTTA